TTCAAACATTCAGATACTTCTCATACACCTGAAAACTCAATTCGTCAATAGTTCCCTAACACAAATCTCTCTTAACAGTAGGCTGCCTTCTAATTGCTTACGAAATCCATTGAGACCTCCCTGGTCCCAACTTATCTGGAATACTGAAATCATGCCCGGTCGCGGAGCTAAAGGACTCCCACACAGTTGCCTCACATGACTTCCGAACGAAATCCTTCCCTGGAACTAGTTACCACTAGTTATCATGCCACTGCAACTCTAACAACCTCCCGATCCAACCAATCGGGTCCTTGTTTCGAATCATGATGACACCAAATCCAAGGCTAAAAGTGATTGCTACCCGCCCAATGGTAGCCCTATCTCACATGTCCTTAAGCAGTCCATTGCTTTCCCGATCTCATAACTGTAGTGACGTTCCTACAGTCTTATCACTGGCTTAACCAGGTCTAATCCCTCTGGGGAAACCCATAAACCTATCCGTGGATTTCCATATCCTCACTGCTACAACCGAACTAGTGGTTACTACTATCTCTTCCGCGTCCTAACAATGCTCTCATGCTATCTACCAATCTAGTGAATGCTATGGCTACCCCCGCAGTCTAACAACACTTTCCATACCGGTCGAACACACACTCAACCTAACACACAACTGAATGTAATTCATGGCTAGAATCCCAACCTGATTCCCCAAATTCTGCTATCAAGCACCGAGAAGACGCGATTTACATGTTGGGAGTTTTACTGAACTCCCTTATCACACAACCCTCAAACTAGACAGCCACTTGAGGTTGTCTTCCTTTCTCCCTAATGAAGATGCAAAACTTATACCAGTTTCGGAACCGACCCTGCTTCTGCATTCCAGGAAGGTTCTCCCCCACTTAGATTCAACTAAGTCTTCACAATACATGAAAGTTGGAGAATTCCCAATCGTTCTCTCTTTCCAACGATAGATCCAATGATAACCAACTCCTTCCAACTAGTGCTCCATTACCAGCCAACCCAAAGTGATCACACACTTCTAAGAACTAGATGAACACTTCCTAAATCCCAGTGAAACCGACAGCCCCTGATAGTTGATTGATCTCACACTCAAATCTTGAAGACCTAAAGATAGGTGCTCCAACTAATATCTCAACAATGAGCCACTTCCCTTGGTTCTCTCATCCGCCAATCAATATCGGTTACTAAAGCCATTGAATCCTGACAATGTTGAATAACCATCCTGTAGGACCCTATCCATAAACCTCCAACATAAAACCCTTCTTCCCACAATGCTCCAACAAATCTCCCGCTCTCGGCTCTTGAAATCATATCACTCAGGGTCTTGCACCCTGACTCACTCACCAGCTCGATCATCCACAGCTGAACTGCAGCAGTTGGAACAACCTCTGCCATAAACCAGGCTAGAACTACTCCCAAGACATAGTCTTCAATCCCGAAAGTGCAATAAATCATACAATCAATCCTTATCGCCTGATACAAGAGATCCAAGGCGAATCGAATTGTAGCTCCTATGGGTTGGAACGGTAATCACGTAGGCCTCACAAGATATTCATGTCGCATCGACCCACCTCCGCTCACCGGTACTGCGATATTGTCACCAACCCCTACGACTAACTGGGCCCGAGCTGGAATACAACCTGATCCTAGGTCACAAGCCTTCTCAATCCCTTGAGCTCAAAAAGCTAGAAGGGCATAACCCTTGCCATAGAAAACGACACTCCAATCCATCTATTATCCATTCTGCATCCAGCTGTAAAATTCTAGTTGAACATAATCATCACTCCCTTCTGGAGTCCCTGCAACTCGACTCCCGGCCTTGAACAAAACCATAGAAGCCTCAAATCCAGAAACTCCTATGCCAACCTCACCCGCTCAACCTGCAAGATGTAATGAATACGGAACATCTCCCTGATACCAAGTAACTGCATTCCTCTACTCATCAGAATATGTCCTAGTAACAAGTCTCGGTAGTGGAAAGCTCGACCAGCTCCTCCCCATGCCGTCGTTACAGCTACTAAATTTGTTCCGACAACCATCTTGGCAATGGATGCGTAGTGCTCGTCGAAATACTCAATCATGGAGGACTTGATAGAACCAACATCTCCAACAACTTTCCCCAGACAACCTCGATCACCTCCTCCCGGATGATCTTACTAACATGGTCCTCTGCCAATGTTGGCCTATCCTGGCTGCCAGCTCCCGATTCTAACCTGGATCCGATCTCCAGATGTATCATAACCAACATTATGGTAATACACCAGAAAGATCTTTGATAACCGATATAAAGACAGGGAACCAACTCCCAACCACACCCTAGGGGTTGTGATTTCCTTGCTACGCGTATGTGTCCTATGCTTTCAGTAGTATGGGCCCATACTACCTTACACATCTACCTATATTTGTCTCAAGTATCATCACAACGACCTAACAATATACATAATCAAAGCGAGCACTCAATCCTCACTCCTAGAGGAATGCTAAATATCTTGTAACTGGCCTCCCGGCCTCACACAACCCACCCATCCGTGAGACTTTCACCAACTTTTCAACACTCGTGTATGCTAGCCATACATAATGTTGGACCCAGTAGACTTTCAAATATCTAATCCTATACTAAGCCCCCAATCAGATAAGGACAGAACATAAGGCCAAACCAAACATTCTCAGGCTATAAGATCTTAATTATGTACTACCGTGATGCATACTCTAAGCAACTACAGTAAAGATGTCAACTTCATATAAGGAACTCCCTAGGCTATTAGGCATCATATAATCAGGCAATTCTATCATGCAATTCTCGAAGATCCCTAGCCTAGTACTAAATTGTTGTTCTATCATATCACAATATCAAATAACCGTATGGTATTTTGGGGTCTACTTACTGGCCCTGGCTGATCGTACACTCTGCATCCTCCTTTAGTATTTTGAAAACCATTTTAAAATACAATGCTTTTGAAAATCCTTTCCTTGATTTGAGACTAGATTCACACGATTGTTCCTCCAATTCATTCAAACCAAGGCTCTGATACCAACTTGTAACACCCATACAATTCAAGCCAATTTGAACTTTTTAAAACATTTAAAACCATTGAGTTATTACAATTTGTTTTCAACATAGTTTGAGCATCAAAGTATCCCCAGAATCAATCATGAAAATATTAGGAGGTGCACGATTACACCTTCTCCTTTGCACGATCATCAAAAGTACCTGAAACAACAAACAGAAATCGTAACCACAAAGCTTAGTGAGTTCCCCCAAATCACCAACGCCATACAAATATAACCATATCATATAACAAATACAGAACATCATGCATAATGAACTCTCAGCCTGATTGGACCGCCTCGCATGCCTTCAGTCTATCTGGACCGCTCTCTAAGCCTTCAGCACGTCTGGACCGCCTCGCAGGGCCTACAGCCTATCCGGACCGCTTGCCGGGCCTTCGGTCTAACTAAATCCCTTTGCAGGGCCTTCAGTTTATCCGACCCTCCGTAGGTATGTTGGCCTTCAACACAAAGTAGGACCGCCTCAACCTAACCCCAAATCAAACAAACATGTGCACATAAATATCAAATGCTAGCATCTATAACAGTCAACCTATCTAACAGATCAATAACCATAACAACATCCTATAACCAGGATACAGATCTAAGCAATCAATAACATAACAACCTTCCTATAATCAGAAAACAGATCTAAGCAATCAATAATATAACAACCATCCTATAATCAGGATAGCGATCTAACAGATCAACTATCATAACAACATCCTATAACCAGGATACCGACCAACCAGGTCACTAAGCATATGACCATCCTAAATACCAGGATGTAAATCAATATGTATATCATGCAATCAACCCGGATACAAATCTGATAAGGGTCGACATTGGTGCCTTAGACCTTGTTGATATAGTGAGGAGAACTCACATGCCACTGCTGACGTCCCGTTGATAAAACTCCAGCTGCTGGTTGACAGCTTCCCAAACTGTCAACCTCAAACAATACCCAATTAATAATTGGGTTCCAAGCCCAAGGTCCAACTCACACACCAAAGGCCCAAAAGTCAAGTAATGGGCCAAAGACCAACTTATGGCCGAATTTTCCACATTAGGCCCAGACCTCTGCATGGTCTTTCCTTAAGGCCCAGTCAATTACTCTCATCCAACTCTTGGTATTCCCATAAACCAATATCACATAATCATAAAGGCCTAATTATGGCCCATCCATGGCCTAATCTTCCAACTTGGGCCCAAGCCTCTCATATGGGCCTTATCCTAAGGCCCATGTAATGATTTTTTTTCATTAACTTGTTCTGTGATAGCCCATCAATATTCCAATCACCAAAGCCCAATAGGAAGGCCCAACTCAAGGCCCAAGGGAAATTAGGGTTTCACATGAAATGACAATTAGGGTTAAGTGTTCCTACTTAACCCATTGAGGACTTAATCCATTAAGGACTTTAAATCCATTATTGCCTTAGGTTAATTTGCCAATGATTATAATTTAATATTTTAAGTTTAATAATTAGCTTAAGTGCGGGTCCCAACATTTCCCCAAAATTAGGGTTTTACGCAATTAGGGTTTTCCAAACCCTAATACTAGCCCATTAGTCACATGGTTGGGCTTTTTGATCCATTAGGGCTTCATTGTGCCCATTAAGGTATCATTGGGCCCAATAGGGTTTCTTTGGGCCAATTAGGGTTTAGTAGTCCATTTGTCCAAACATCCAAAGGAGTCACAAACCAAACAAGGCACACCGCCACCCGACGTGGCGGTCAATGGTGGCAGGAGGCGGTAGCCACCAGCTCATAGTGGTAGTTTCGAATTTCTTCCCATTATTTCATCTTTTTGTTACAAATTACAATACCATCCACGAACACACACACACACTAATAAACACGCACACCCACACACTCACTAATAAACACACATACACAACCACCTTGTGGTGGCCGGTGGTGGTATATGGTGGCAGCCACCATGGCCGGCAGCCATGGTGGTTTTCCTTGGTTTTCTGGCAGCAGCAATCCAAGACACGCTCAAGTTAGCAAAACATGACTGAAACATACATACCCGCACTAAGAGGCAGAGAATACCGGTCACAGTGGAACAGCTGCGTGGCGGTGATGGCCACGTCAATCTAACAGTGAAGGAACAAGTGGCGGAGGGAAGCTGCTCGAGCGGTGGTGGTGATGTATCAACAAACAGAACAGAGAGAAGAGGAGAATGTGGTTCGAACCACCGAGTACAGCAGCACCAACGGTGATGAAGAAACACCTACTCAAGTCCCCGTCAACAGCTTTGTCATCAATAGCCATGGCAGCAAGCTCGTCGACATCCATGGAAGGATGTGGTGGGAAAGACCGGAGGGTGTAGGAATGGAGATTGCAGCAGCAACTCGGTGGAAATAGCCGGATAACGGTAGTGGCAGTGACGAGGCTCGACTAACACCATCAATTAGTCCTACCCGATACAGCAACGATCCTATTGGTTTCTTCTGGCGACCCCGACGTCTGATGATGCTTTAGATGGTGGCGACTGGAGTAGGACGATGGAGAGGTTGGCGGCTGACACTAGATTTAGGGTTAGGGGGTTTCATGCAGTTATAAAGAATATATATATATATATATATATATATATATATATATATATATATATATATTATATATATATATATAACATCAAAATTTTATAACAGTTCAAGTCCCAAAGGTTACCATATAGCCCCTCCATGACAATTTCTGTTCAACTTAGGTACATAATTTATCCTTTTAACCCATCCACCCAAAATTCTTTCATATTAAATCCAAATGATACGAAACACCCTTGGCTTCTAAATCCTTTGCACAATAAACTCCGAAATTACACTTTAACTCCCAAAACTTTAACTCTTGTCGTTTGGCTTTCCGAAGCCAACACCCCGCTAAATATTATTTGATTTTTGGACTATAACGATATAAAATAATAATAATAATCACTTCCTGGGGTTCCGGGTCTATTATTAATTATTATATTTTAAATGTGATGTTACATGGCGTGCGCCTTATATTTTCGTGGAGCGCCTCCCAAAAATCCATATAAATAGAGACCGAAGTCAGCCTCATTTCTCACACATTTCTCACAATTCTCTCTGAAATCTATCTGGTCCTTTGTGTTCGGTTTTTTCCATACTTTTGAGCATTTTAGTGAACCTCTGAGTATCCACGAGCTTGACAAAAAGAAGTTTTTGGGTCGGAGTTCTACCCATGACTTCCTTATCGCCGCTAGAAATTTCTATAAGTTAAACTGTTCTTACTAGGCTTCAAATGTAACTTATATTTATATTCATAGTAGTTATTATGAATCTATAAATAATATTTATCAGTGATTTCAATCAAAATACTAATTGATCTACTTACGGGTATGATGTCTAGGCTAGATTTAGTGTGGTGTTTAAAGTGGGATTTCCAAACAGTATACTTTGTATCCTAAACATACCCTACATCCGATACGATCTTACCAGGTTATTCCTTAATTGATAGATCTTGATGTAGATAGTGATATTATTGAGGAATCTAGACTATCATTAGTCGCAAGAATATAAGAATAAAAACTTAGACTATCATTAGTCGCGGGAAAACCTAAAAGTGTTAGGCGAATGTAACATCCCTATTTTCCAAAACCGAAAAAAACTTTTTCTTTACGCTTTGAAAAACCATAACATCTTTGTTTGTGGAAAATCCTAATATAATAAAACATTTAGTGGAAACTATTTCGTTTTATTAAGAATATCTTTGAATAAAGATGTTGTTTCAAATTACAAAACCCTAAGGATGCATAATCAATACACAACATATTTACAGTGTAAATAACTACGGTCTTGAACTCTATTGCAAGTCTTATCTTTAATCACTCAACATCCTATGCAAACCTCCAATAATCTTAATACCGCTACCTGTGATGCATATAAATGGAGTGGGTCAGGTTGGAAAACCTAGTGAGACACATATGATTTTCAATCCCACAATATTATTATTGATAATAATTTATAATTATCAGACCTGCAAAACCAACTGTTACCAAAAAATATTATATAACCTAGATATCATATAAGGCAATCTATCATTAGTTATCTGTCCCGTCGATCCTCACATAATAACCCTATGCAACGACCTTATGAGATATATCAAAAGGATCATTGTGAATAACAAGCTGCTTCGGGGATTCCTTGGCAGCAGACAAGGATCAGAAAGAAAAAAATGAGAGGAATGAAGTACTAAAATGAACATACAATCCAATCTCCTTGGATCAGTATAATTCATTAACATCACAAGAAAGTTAAGTCAGGGATGGTAATCAATACCATTTAGATGTCTTAGACTTGCCTACCAATGGTTCCCCAACACACCCTTTTTAGCAATCATTTTGATAACTCGGAAATACGTAGTAGTTGCCTGAGCATGTGTGTTTTAGTCATGTTTTGCTAACAAAAACCATTGTATTGATACGTAGTAGTAGTTGCCCGAGTATGTGTGTTTCAAACTAAGAACAACCATTGTATTGATAATATATAATTTACATTGAGTTCAAAACATTACATGATTTACATTAAAACTATAGCAGAATATAAGACGCAATACTACTATGCTTCGTATTCAAAACGCCTGAGAAAGTACCTATCTACTGTTTTTCCTGAGAATACAAGTGATTTTGAAAGTGTATCAACATTTAAGTTGGTAAGTTCATAATCATTTTTAGTGTTTGAAAAGTACGTTCTTTATTCTTAAAGAATGATGATTTGAAATAAGAAATCATATTTGTTTCCAGAAAGTTGAATTATAAATTGTTTGTTTTTTGAGTAATTGTCTTTATCCCAGAAAATCCTATATTTTCCATAAACCGAGTTGTAGTCTAATATAAATCAAGACTGAAAAGTATAAGTATATTACCATACTTAAATTAAAGATATGTAGTTTTTTTATTCATAAAAGTATTGAAAAAATATGTTTTATGTAAAAGTTCACGTATAGTTGTTTATTCGATTGTTTGTAAAATACTGACGTTTATCCAGGAAAACCCTTTCATAATGATTATAAAGCATGAAAATAAAAATATTTTTATATAAACTTTGTTTCATCCCAAGAAGGGGTTAAAATGGTATCAATATTATCCGAACTATAACTATTATAGTTTCAAATGTATATTACATTAAGATGATAATCGTGTTATTTTAACATGTATTGTTTGTAAATATATGCACATTTGATAATGATATTGTTTCCCGTAATAAGTACATAAAGTTTAAGAAACATAATCAATGGTTTGTATATTAACACAAGTTTTCTTGTGTTATACTTCTATCCCCCCCCCCCCCCAAAGTGTTTAAAAAGCATTTCAAAGAGTAGTGATAGGGGTATAAACTCACTTGACGACTTGTGATTTGGACAACGTTTCGTTTCTAGAAATGAGCTTTCTTGACGTAACCTCGAGTTCCTAGTGAAGAACCGGGCTTCACGCGGGTAGCACTTCGGCTGGAAAGAATGTCTTTCTCGGGAACTTCGGGGCGTCAGGACTTGTTTCATGTTTTAGGGGTGTTACTGGGGCTTTGGGGTGTTCAAGAGTGGCTAGAGAGGGTTTAAGAGAGGAGAGGGGTTGAGAAATAACAACCAAATCCGGAAGGCTTGGATTTCTATATATAGCCTGAAATCTCGAATTTCATGTCGTGAGTTTTGCATAACTCACGTCGTGAGTTTCGTCCTGATCCGCTCATGACATGCGTCATCTGTCCACTTGCTCTGGAAGGCTTAATCAAAATTTTCACGTCGTGAACTCTACACTCACGACGTGAACTCTGACATGTGTCAAAGTTTGTGCTCTGAACTTCATAAATTCATATCTTTCGCATACGAGTTCCGAGTTTTACGTTCTTTAGATCCACGTGTAGGTGAGATTATTCTCTACAACTTTCATTTAGATTCAGTCGGCTGATTTTGAATTTTATTTTTAATATTATATTTTTAACAGGCCGGGACAGGAAAAATCTGTTAAAAATTCATAACTTCTTCATCCGACGTCTGTTTTTGTCTGTCTTTTTACTGTTGTACTACTATTGTCGAGATCTTCAATTCTCATTCAGGTTGCATCGGTTAAAAGTCGCTCGATCTCTATTTCGAGTTATTAGCTGTCTACTGCTATATCCGAAACTTAGAAAAATCATAACTTCCTATTACGAAGTCAGAATTGAACGTTCTTTTTATGTACGTTTACAGTTTAATGATATCTACGACTTTCTTTTAGGTACCTAAGGCTAAAAAGTATTTTAGTGAAATTTCGCATTTTATGCTTAACTGTGTTTTACCGGTTTTGTTGCGGATCTTTGATTGATCATAACTTCTTCGTTATAACTCGGATTTTTGTGTTCTTTATATTTCTGAAAACCTTGTTACGATATCTATCACTTTATACTGACCAATTGAGATTTTTGAACATTTTATTTTTGGATGCTATTTTTATTATCTCAAAATAGGTTACACTAGTTGACTTTAGATTATTACATTGACTTGAAATATCAAGTTGTTACATCATCCCCCCATTAGAGGGAATTTTGTCTCGAAATTATTTGAAAATGAGTATTTATGGACTAGGGAAGAGATGCGAGTACTTTTTTTGCATCTAATTTTCTCGTTCTCTAGTGAATCCAAATCCTCGCGTGGCTGTTCCAGCGGACCTTCATTATCCTGTCTGTCGTTTTGATCGGTATAGGTCGTGTGGATTTGGGTTTATTTGCCTATGTTCGTCTAAATGTTAGCATGTTCACTCTTAGTATAAGGTAGCTTTGTCTTGAAGTTCATAGTTGAATTCATACCTGGTTCATCTATCACCGCCTTGTATATACAACTCGTATATACACTTGTGGTGATAGGTTAACCGTATACATTCCTAGCCTCCGTGCTTGAACTTGACTCGTTGTGCGTGTGTTGTTCCTAAATGGTCTTTCGGTAATACTTCGGGAAGGTTTCAAAAGATATTGCACTCTTCACATGAGTACTTCGGGATTTTGAAACGAGAGACGATTCGGGAGTTGTGTCGAGTTTGTCGTTATAGATCGAAAGAGTTTCATTAGTCGACGGTTAAGCGAAGGGTCTTTCTATAGCACTTGGGACTGGTATAGTGAAGACCAAACCAATCCATGATGAAAGACGACATCGTAACTTCTTAATGAAGCATGTGTTAAGTCGATTAAAGAGAAACGTTTTTAGGGCGATAGTCCTTTTTGTGTATACTCTCTAGTGCCTTCAGATTTATCCTTGTTATTACTATTGTAAATGATTCGTACTGCTTTAAGTGAATTTTAGTAGTAAGTTTGTTCTAATAACAAGAAATGATGGACTTTACAATACAATCCCTACTAGGTTCCTCTATAATCACTTGG